AGGCCCTTAGAATACAGAATATTAGAGCTGGGAGGGCCCTTAGAACAAAGAATGTCAGAGCTAGGAGGGTCCTTAGAACACAGGATGTCAGAGCTGGGAGGGCTGAGAACCCAGAATGTTAGAGCTGGGAGGGGTCTTGGAGCATAGGATGTCAGAGCTAGGAGGGTCCTTAGAACACAGAATATTAGAGCTGGGAGGGACCTTAGAACCCCGAATGTCAGAGCTGGGAGAGGCCTTTGGACACAAGATGCCATAGCTGAAACACTGTAGAATATCAGAGCTGGAAAGATTGTATATTTAGATCTAGAAGAACATGGAGGTCATCCAGTCCAATTCTCTCATTTTATATGGAGCACCTGAGGTGCTGAAAGAGAAGGCTCCTTGCCCGCGGACACGTAAGCATTGATGCCTACTGGGGACAGAATCTGGCTGCCCAGCACAGTGCTGTGCTCCCCCCCCAGCGCCTCTTTAACATTCTAAAGGCTTCCTTTGTCTTCTCTGCACGCGTTTAGTTATCTTTAGGGGTCAGGGACTTTCCTCCAAGTCTGATCTGGATCCCTCCTGTTGTATTTTGATGTGGGAGGGAGCATCGGTTTCCCTAAAGTCTGTCCCACCACTGGGCATGAGGACAATGAAATGAGGGCTCTCTAAGCAGTCTTCCCAGGGCAGGATGGATGGACAGCACCTGGCCATCACTCTATTCTTGTCTTTCAAGCCCTGCGCATCCTAAGGTGGGTGGGTTTTTTTTTTCTCCACGCTCCTTGCAGGATGCAAAAGGGAAAGATCACCCCGGGTTGGTGTCCTGTTCCCCTCTGACCTCTCCCTTTCTCTCTCCTGCTCCCCTTCCCCCGCTTCTCTCCATCCTGGCCCTGGCCCACACAGCCGGTCTCCTGAAAGGCTGGCTCCCGCCTGCCTGCCTGGGGCCAGAGTGCACAGCAGCTTCCAGCTTGCGGCTGTGATGATTTAAGATTAGTTCTGTGCTCGAGGCCCTTAAAAGGGGATCAATATGGCCTTTCACCTGCGTTTTACACCATGCTGGAACACCGTGGGGGGAGGGAGGGGCAGCGGGGCCTGGAGCAGCGGAAGCTTGAGGCCACAGCAGTCCAGCAAAATTGCAAAGTTTCAGGGCCCAGTGAGATGCAGGCAGCGAGCCTTCGGCACACACAATCAGTTTTCCATTCTGTACTGTAACAAGGTGAATGCTATCCATATTTAATAAAGAGTCGCTCCTGCAGTTTGGAATGGAATTGAAATGGGGCCCAATTGACAGTGGCTGAGGCTCTGGAAATGGCTGCTAATGACGGCCTGGGCCATCCTCTGTGCTGCATCCTCTGGCCTTCCCCCTCCAGCTCTGTCTACTGCAGGGGGAGCGGGCAGAAGCTTTTTTGGGTTGGATGTCCATTGTTATTGTGTGTGTGTGTGTGTGCGCGCGCGCGCGTGTGAGACTGGGACAGCTCTGCAAAGTCTCGCTACTGGACAAATAGCCAAACAATACAGGAAGAGCTCTCTCCGTAGGCAGCCCAGTGAATAGAGCGTGGGACGTGCAGTTGGGAAGATCCAATACTTAGTAGCTAGGTAACCCTTACCCTTCTATCAGTTTCTCATCTGTAAAATGGGGATAACAGCCACTACTCCTGAGGACTAAATGAGATAACATGTAAAGCACTTTGCAAAGCTTAGAAGGTCTGCATATGCTAGCTATTATTAGGAGTCATGGCATTGGGAGATTGGAAGGGACCTCAATGGTCATCTAGTGCAACGTATCCCTGGAAGGGAATGTGCCCAAACTAGGACTCGCTCCTGCTATTTGTAATGTGTGCCAGTCATCCATCCCAGGCATCCATCTTGTGTGAGGGGGGAGCCCACCATCTTCAAGGCCCAGCCCACACCAGTGTTGGACAGCTCTCGCCCGTAGGACATCCATCCTAAACCTGTCTCTTCGCCTTCTCTCTGTCACTTCTCATCTGTCCTCTGGCATCAGAGAAGGAGAAGTCTTCTCCCTCTTCCATGGACAGCCCTTCAGAAACCGAAGATGGCGTCCCTCCCTTCGAGTCTTTCCATTACACTGAGATTACTACTTCATCTCACCTCTCTCTGTACATCCCTGGCTCAAAGCCCTTCCCCATTCCCCTTGTTCTCTTCTAGACACCATCTACCTTCTCTTGAGGTGTCCAGAACGAATTCTCCAGCTGGGGTCTGACCAGGGCAGAAGACCTGAGTTCAAGACACCTAGCGCTTTCACCGTCTGGACTTTCATTTCCTCACTTATTAAACGAGGGAGTTGACTTGATCTCTGCTTTTGGACGTGTGGTAGGCATGTGTCTCTGTGCAAGGTATTTTCAGAGCCTTGCTTTCCTTGCCAAGAAAATGAGGACAAGGGCCCTCATACTAAACCCACAGGGCGGCTCTGAGGAAAACTCTTTGTTAGACAAAGGCTCTGAGGCCATGTTGTGGTGAAGGGAACGGGGGAGGGAGAGGGAGAATGGAGAGGGCCTGGTTGGCCTTTCTGAGCCTTCTTTTAAAGGTCAGGCCTCTTTCACATCTCTCTTTAGCCGTAATGATTCAACTGTTCATACATTTGTCCAGAATCTTTGGATCTGTTTCTCTCCCTCCCTGGGTTGTCCCTTGCACTAATCCACAAATTTCAGGTTAATGGAGGAAGAAGGGCTTCTTTTAACTTCTCCTAAACTTATGTGGTACATATTCCAATGTGTTGGCTTTCCCACCTTGCAGCCTTAAGATTTTCCAAGCTAAATCATACCCACTCCGTCCTTGCAGCCAGTTAATCTTTGTCTGCCTCAGTTTCCTCACCTGTAAAATGGGTATAATAATAGCACTTACTTCCCAGGGTTGTTGTGAATGTCAAATGAGATAATATTTGTCAAGCACTTTAGCACAGTGCCCAGCTCATAGTAGGCGCTAAATACATGCTAATTCCCTCCCTAACTCTAGCCCTTTGCAGTGTTACTGAACCTTCTAGGGCTTGTGCCCCTCCCGCCTAGTCTCTGCAGGGCTGAGATCGCCACATCCCCTGGTGAGGCATCAGAGGATGGTTCTGGTCAGCCCCACGTCCTCTCCTCTCGTCCCTGTCCAGCTGCTGCTCTGCCCATGCTGCAGACATCGGCCGCCCGGCCGACGGCTTGGCTCCTTGATCCTCTTGGAGGGGGAGTGGCAGGGACTGTCAAAGGAGGAATGTCACACCCCCCAGGGCCTGTGTCAACACAGCAGCCTCCATGGT